GAATTAGTCTTTGTCACTTTAGAAGGAAGGTTTTGACAGAAATATTTACCTTTGAATGCAGTAAAATGACCCCCAAAATACGAATGAGCTTGGAATTGAATCTAAAACCAAAACCAAAAGTGTGCCGCATTGTCAATGTGATTCCGATTTAATTGTTCAGGCTCAAGACGTAGAATCTCCAAGATAATAAAGCTTTTTAAACACACCAAGACAATCACGATAATTAGTTTTTGAGAAAATATCGAACCCAGATCGAATTATTAAAGACAATCTGAGGCACGGATAGTATTAGGAAGATGCTGTATGAGGAGGGTTCATTGATAGTGTTCAAAAAAATAGAACTCGTAATAAAATGAATAAGAGGGTTTAGAGGTGAACACTTTTGGAAAGACAGTATCAAAGGCACACCCCAAGGATCATTACCAATACGAAATAGTAAAGAAATTCACTAAAATGAGAAGCAAAAAGATATGGAGAGTTGGTCAGGCAATGCAGATGCCTTGTCAAGTTAATCAAATCAGCAATGTTAGTTTTACTCAATAGCAGATAATGACGCAGTGCCTAAGGTGTATCTATTAAAATTAACAGTTCTGAATCTCTCCAGTCTAGTTAAGCAGACTTGAGCTTCACAAAGTTAGATTAGATTGGATATAGGTCACATCGAAAGCCATTTTATTTGTTGTTATTACCTATCATTGATATACGTTATCTTGTAGCGATGATAATTAATCTTCTTATCTCGATGTTTCCCACTCGCCAACTCGCCAGATAGCCATATGTCGCCATCGGGAATGATATCTTTTCCTGTTAATCAAAACCTTCAAGCATCGTCCATTACATCTCGTGCCTACCGCCGGTTGTAGACAAAATGGAGTGCATGATTACTCGATTATTCACATAATCCCTGGCTCGCTGCAAATGGAGGCTTCTTTAACTTCGATCGCTAATCGGTCCTCAGCATCGAGTGTCCTGATTTCGTTGTCAAATGAATTCGGTTAGTGGATCACCTCTCGGCCCAACATTTAGGATTATTTCATCGCCCGCGTGATTTTATTTCTTAGAAACTTGGAAAATTCAAATGGGAATCCGCTGAAAACGAATCGGACGGCAATACTGCCGAAAATGACACGCATTGTATTTCAATTCTTGATCTGCACGCACAGGACATGTGGCAATCTCCCTCGGCGAGTGTGTTTCTATTTTGGGGGATGAAATGAGCCTAATTCGAGACGACTTGTCAAAACATTGAATCATCCAATTTCGATATCCATGTCTAACCACTATATGGCAAACTACTTTAATGATGCAGTACGTATGGTTTTACATCAACAAAGTAGAGGTCCAAGCCGCTTCCGCGTTCCAAGACCTCCATACGATATGAGACACCGGCGCTTCTAATGCTCTCCGCTTCTGATGCAAACCCGACGTGTATAACCTGTTTCAAAGTTAGTAACCGTATCCCGGGGACGACTTTACAACAAATCCAACTTCTAAAACTGCACAGAACTCATAAACGATTTTATTAAGTTCACCCATACTTAAGGCTACATTCTTAGAGCTGGTTGCTTATTCTTAAGTAAATATGTGGTCCATAGAGGTGCTGGTAGAAAAGTGCAAAGCAGACTGACCTTTCAAGTTTCTATGGAAAATGCAATGTCAAGAAACATCCAGTTTGAATTTGTGACATACTTTGAACCACGAGAAGAATTAATTTTCTGTGCAAACTCTTTAGGGTGTGGTCAAGGTAATCAAATATATATGGGAGAAACACCATGTAAAAGATGTTTGGAATAGAGCTTCCAAGTGTTTGCATGAGAAACCGCTTGATTTCTGTATTTGAAGCATGAAAGATAACCAAATCAGAACGAATTCTTTTGTGGCTTAACTCGAGAAGTGAGCGCTCATTATAACGGAAAACCAATTCAGAATAGAAAACTTATGAAGACGGCATGACACAAAACCGGAAATTTCATGGAGAATACAGTTTAGTTAATGACATGAATGGAGCAGAGACCGCGCAAAAAACATATGGTCTTCGACAAAAGGAGTCAGGTCCAACATGGAGCATGATTGACTTCCTCTTTTGAGCATGAAGAACGGGCAAAGATGGATACATTTTTTTAGCTTTGATTGTGCATTTTTAAAACGAAATTGATTTGATAATAAGAAAATAACGCAAAATCTCGTTTTGAATGCTTGGCCGCGCTAGGTCCGCGGAGCATAACTAAGAGAGACAATTTAACAGTTGCTTCTATTATCATTCGTCAGATGCAATGTCCAGGACTTCTCCGGCTGCAGGGCCCCGACAAGCGCGTGGAGCTCGAGGGTGTTTGCTAGGCGCGGCAGTTGATGAAGGGGTTCCCTTTGGGGCTGCGCGAGATTTAGGCTTTTTAGCGGCGACTGGCGCTTCTTCTTCTGACTCCTCATCCGCGCTCTGGTTCTTTGACAGAGAAGCCATAGATTTGCTTGACGCAGATGAAAATGAAGTTTCGCCAAAATCGGAAGGGCGAAACGGCATGCTAGCTTGTGAATCAGATGTGATTATAGGGGACTTGAATGCTGAGTTGACTGCTCTCGGATTGAATCTGTGGTGACCAAGCAGATCAGAAGTTGGAAAACGGATCGAAAGAGAGCTCAACGTACTTGACCGGCTTAAGAGGATTGCCAGACTTGCTACCGCTGGCGGACGGCTTTGTGCCAATTGAGGCGGAGATCTCCGATTCGTCCACAGATCCAGAGGTGGGTGAAACTCTATTCACCTGGGGTTAAACTGTAATCAGTTTAAAAATGTTTCCAATCGTTATTTGGAAAAACTTACAATCACAATGTAACAGTTGGTTTTTTCGTTGAAGTCTTTAATGTATCTGTGAAAGAGGCATTCACGACCGAGTCTCACGATTTTGTGAGTCCCTGCCAGGTTAGGAAAAGGACGGATGCGATATTCAACCTGGCAAACCCTGGGAAGTTTTGACTGAAACACAAAAATATCAACAGTGGGTTTAAGTTTTGCATCAGTGTAAGTCTATCAATACAAACCTCGGCATGGTAATCCGAATGTTCAACTGTCACAACAGTGGTGATTTTATCTTTGGTTGGGTTTTTCGGAATCAAATGTTGAATAGAAGCTTCGACAATGGGATCAATTTTGCGGACACGGCCCAACCCAGTGATTCCTACTGTATCAACTAAACTGTGAGCGAAATCTCCACCGTTTGTTATAATTGCCCAATCTGACGCCTCGAAAAAAAATTGGTCGTCCTTTGTGTCCAGACGATTTCGAGGAAAGAATGCCCCCCGCAAATAGTAGACATTTTTGGGGCTCAACTTCATATTCTTCGCGCTATATCCGGTCGCTCGAATCTTGTACGAAAAGCTTCGCACACGGTCCGCCCCGCTGCAAGTGATAGACAAAATATAGGTTCGATATTGGCTGTCGCGTTGTGGTTGTTCTGCTGTGAGCTACAATTTAAAATGCGGGACCATGAGTGATTTGCTCCCTCATCGTGCAGAGATAGTAGCACTACTATAAACAACTCACTTTTTCTTCAATTTCAAAATTCCCGGCGAGGTAAATTCCATGTCCCGTAAGAGCATCCTCATCAGACATGTTAATAAGACGACAAATTGACTTAATTGAGTATTAAGGAGAAAATGATTCAGTATCAAGCAGACAATGAGAAGGTCCAAAACCGATCATCAAAAACAAAAACAAAAACTATGTTCCAAGGACAGACAGAAGAGAGTGAGATCTGGAATCTGCTATTTATTTATCGGTCTTGTCGGTGGGGTTTGCTTTGACTTCAGAAATCCATGCAAGACGTCTTGTTATTTATACCAAATATGCCCAAGGCTAAAGCAGTCAGTATGTATTAGCTGATTGAAAATGTGTTGATTGTGTTAGTGAGCTATGAAATTGTTACAAAAATTTCAATGTGAATCCCACACAGCGTTGACGCGGTAATCATGACACTCTCATTGGAAAGAAATGTCACGCTACGGGAGTTAGGTTATGCGGATTGATCTCGCCGCTCGCTCTTCGCATTCTCGATGGGTCCAGCAATCTCCCTATACGCGATAAGCCAGACGCAACAACGAAAGTACCGATATGTGTCCGAAATTATATGTCTGAAGAGTGAAAGTACCTCTTTCGAAGCCAGAATGCTCCTCGTGATTATGATTTGTGTTGGGAACTAAAGAGTTTATCAAATTACGAGATTTCACCCTGACTTACGTCGATAGGGAGCGAACGTCAGGTCTTCTACAATTGGCGTCTACCGAGTGGAATTACAAACTCACATCCATATGCAATTTAAACTCCTTGCAGAGTGTAGAAAATTGATCGCTTTCGCACTGGTTTTGATTTGAAAACAACAATTGCAATGTAATTTTTCGCAGAGATACTCGAATTAGCGTGAAAAGGTGAAAGGTGGTATGCTATGTTGCCTAAACGAACAGTATGAAAAGGCGCGCGTCGGAAGAAAAGACCAACGCAAGAGCATTAATTTTAATATGTTTTTTGCTGATAACTTTTAAAACCTGATTCGTCGTGTTTCGGCAGTGTGATTTTTAAATGAGCTGAAGTTGAGTTTGGAGGAAGAAGTGCCGATGTTCTCAAAGTGCAACCGGCTAGGAACCAGAATAGCATGTAAGCGAAATTGAGAGGAAGGCAATTCATACCTCGATTGAATAAGTTTTGCAATTATTGACGGTCTGTATCTCCTAGCTAGTATGAGACACGCGGAAGTTATAGGAGATCAGTAGGCAATAAAGAAGATAATTAACGTTGATTTTGATCGCGTTGGGTTTATCAATGATGCACCGATAACGACACACCAAACTGGTTTCACTCCCAATTTAAGGATCATATGTTTATAATGAATGAACGTTGCTTAGTCCACATAGAATACACATGTCAGGTCTTGATTCAGCATACGTGATAATAAGTAGGCCAGCCTCGTTGACACAGACAATATCATGGCTATCTAGACACCTGCCGATCCTGATAAACCATTTAGGATAACTCCATCACCAAGTGAAGCAGGACACATCAACAGATGAGGAAGCATAGAGAGCTGATCTGCCCAATGCACGGCATTTACCTTGGTTTTTTATTTCATCCAATTATTGGACAACCTCAATTTCAAGATATGCACGCTGCAATCTCGCAGTGGTAGTTAATATTAAGCATTTAGATTTGATTGAATTGTTCAAATGAGACAAAAAGACACAGTTACAATTCTGAGAGTTTGTAATCAATTCAATTGTCTGACCCAAACCGGGAAATCATGCTAGATTAAAATGTGCTATCTGTAACCAAATGCCTCAAAATTAGGAGGAACGCTTCGAAGTGATACCATCTAAATCTTTCCCATTGTCACTGATTTACGGCACAATTAATAATGAGTATGTGATTTCGCAATGAATCGGTGAATGTGTTTGTGTTTGGCGACCGTCATTCTGGATTATATTTCTACCAGATCAGTACGGGTTTCAACGCATGCACTTGATTTCTGTCAGAAGACCTGCATTAGCCCTATCTGTATTGTTTTGTGCGAAGAGAAAGTGATTGTTACTTACCAAGCCTGTCACTTTGGATTGAGTATCCAACAAAGGAGTTTGATTTTTGACCCAGGCATTAGATTCCTGTGTTCAACATTGTATGAGTAATGCGGGCAAGTGTTTTGAGTCAGTGAAGAAGTAAAAATTGCTAACCAACACGTCAGTGTAAGACATATCACCCCTGAAGTGGCACATTATTCCTACCGCGCTAAAAGCCGCGAGCAATTCTGGATCTGTCATCCTTGAGCCGAGAGACGTGATGAGTATTACGTGTTTCAAGGTAGTTCGCTCAGTCGTCGGCTTTGCAGCCTCAGCAAGCAAGGCCGTTTCCCAGTTTTTCTTTGATTGCGCATAGTGCGTGATGAAAACCTCTACGTTTTGCAAGAACGGCCGTCGCAACCAGTTGAGGTCCGGTCGTAGAGTGTTAAAGTAAGCAGCCTTTAAAACGCGCAGTTGTGGAAATACCTGATCGAAGATATCGTGGGGCAGGAGCATAGGAATCACATCGATGGACAGGGCTTGGAGTGTGTCTTGCAATGCAAGCACTACTGGCCAGGCTTGGTCGGCGTCATCCTCCGGCGGAGCGTACTCGAGAAACTTGATATTTTTCCCTTCAAAGTGACAAAAATCAATTATGGTGGCAAGGTTAGAGTAAGTACACGCAAAGTAAAAGTGTTCCAAGTTTTGCCAAGCGCCACGCTCTCCTTGTAAGCTATTAAGTGTCGCAAAGTCGATGGAGAAAGACTCCAAGCATGGGACAGCATTGGGGAGCTGAATCAAAAAGTCCGAATGATTTTTTACATGTCGAGATGGACTAACGCACACCACGAGAACCTTCAAGGAGCAAAGCCGTTTGAAGGCATTGATGGTGCTTGCAGCAAACCCCACTGGACCTATAAAAGTCAGTTTTAGGTCTGTCAAGCTGAGCCTACACATTTCGAGAATCGCTTCGATGTCTGGCATGTGGACTACGTCGGATGGGTATGGGTGTACACTCAGAGACAGCGTGATTCCTTGATAAGTAATCGGGTCTTCGGTTCCATTCGAATAGAATATCGGTGAAATGCTCAGTCTGCGAAGTTGATGCATACCGCATACAAAGAATAAAGAAGTCTTTCTTTTGATGAGATTGGTAACCATGAAAGCTAATCGTAAATCAAGGTCTCGGAAAACATGAGACATAATCGCGAGATCCCAATTGCAGCCTAAGTAGCGCAAACTTAAAATAGTTCGCAAGGATAGGATAGTAGGCCGACTTTGATCAGCACTGTTGATATAATGAGAAGGCGGTGACAGACAATTGGCGTCAACATAAGTCAGAATGAGTTCAATGACTTCAACTGGGAGGCGAGATTGAACGGGCATGACTGCGTTGATTGCTGACCGATCAAACAGCACCACTCTGAGAAACATTGACAACGGATGCCGTTTATATACTCACTGACCACCTTGTGCAAAGCAGCTGGAAGATTATCGCTTGTCGTCGGATCCATGAATGTCAAAAAATTCCTATGTGGATTCACGCTGCAAACATATAGACCGAGATACCGACCTTGTGTTGATATTGAGTCGGCGTAGATAGGTCCAAATGGCAGAAGGAGGTCCGCGTGGATGTTAGCGATGTACCGAGCTGCGCGGGCGGGTAGCGAAAAAAGTGCAAATTCAAATGTACACGTGCTCTTGAAGCAACGACTGGGTTGAAAGTAAGTTTGCACAGGCAATATAAACAGATGATCAATCCGGTCGTGGTCGATATTACAGAGGTTTGCAATGATTTGAGACAGGAGGCGAGATTGACTGAATGAAAACGATGATGGAAATGAATTGGTTTGCAAGGACGTCAACCAACGGGCCAAGTTTCATATAGCCTAACTCAGGCTTTGCTTGGGGTCTAATCCTCGCCTGGTATCTGGCTTGGCTTTTTGGAACTGTAGGATGTAGGTGAACGTTCAATACCGTCGCGCATCGGCATTCCCTGGATTGCTCCAATGTAGCACAATCTGGATTTCGATTATCATTGCTGACTGTGTAGAATTGTTGAGCATTTAAATACAAATTGAAGCAGGAAAAGAAATAATTCTATGGCAGGAGATGAAAAAGACAACTGCAAAACACATTCACATGTCGAAGACAAAATGCGGTATTGTGGCCTGGGAAAGAATCGGAGAAATCAAGCTGTGTTTCAATGAATCATCAAATTGAGTTCGATCAGTTTGTGATACAATAAATACCGAGGCAAGGCTGAGAAAGGTTGACTATTTTGCTTTACGTACATAGTTTGTTTTCGTATTGCGCTGGGACCCTCATTGAGGTGATTTGCTTTTTGACCCAAGCGTCGGATTCCTATCAATGATGATTCCTCTAAGCATTGCGTAGACTCTATTTGTGGGATAAAAGGTCAAGTTCACTTACCAAAATCTCGTTGTATGCCATTTCGCGCCTGAAATGGCAAGTCAATTTACCCGCTTGGAATGCCTCGGCCAGCGCAGTATCGTACATCGGTACACAGCTGGTCGTTATGAAAATAATGTGCTTGAGGTTCGCAGGCTTGATGCTTGGATCTTTTGTCATTGCAGTCAATATGTCTTCCCAGTCCTTCTTCGATTTCTCGTAGTTGGTAATGAAAATCTCGACATTTTGAAAAACGGGAGACTTCAGCCGTTCAAAGCCTGTAGTACTGATCTGAGAGTAAGAACATTTTAGGATTCGAAGCCGTGGAAAGGCGTACAGAACCATTGATTGCGGGATATGGCAAGGGAATACTTCTATTGAAAAGACTTCAATTGTATCCCGCAGAGTAAAGGCAACTGATGAAGGCTCGTCCGAGCCGGTAGGGCAGGAGTATTATTCTAAGAACTTGAGATTTTTCCGCTTGCACCGGCAGAAGTTCACAATTGGGTCGATGTTTGATTGGTCCGCGGCGAAGAATAAATGTTGCCAATTAGGAAGCGACTCAGGATCGAGATTCAAATTATTTAGTGAAAGAAAGTTGAGCGAGAGTGACTCCAAAGATGGAACGTGGTTGAGAAACGCAATCAAGGAGTTAGAGTCGTGTTTAATGCGGCGGGCGATGACTGACTCGGAACCGTTTTCGTGGCGGCGAGCAAGAGTCGAACCAATGATTAGCACCTTAAGATTGGAAGCATGTTGCGCAGTGTACACCATTTCGTTGGAAAACCCGACTGGGCCAACAAATCCAAGCTTCAACTCGGTTAAATTGTGAATACAAAGCTCCATAATTTGCTCAATGTTCGACATATAGATTATGCTGGAGGGATAGCGGTGCGAGTGCTCGTTAAGGTGTAGCCCATGATCATCAGAGAAAGCACCGGTTGGCGGGGAATAATACACATGCCCAATGCTCAGTCGTCGCAAACGATCCATGCTAGGGTTTACAAAAGATTTACTCTGCTTTTTCAAAAGGTTTAAAGCCATGAATGGCCATCGTAGGTCAAGGTCTTGAAAAACGTAAGTCTTGATCGCATTGTCCCATTCTTTACCCACAAGACGTAGTTTCAAAAGCGAAATGAGGGAAGCGTGGTTGAGATAACGACGATCCGCCGTGTTGATAAAATGTGGAGGAGTGGTGGCGAGGTCTTCGTGAAAGTAAAGCAAAATGATCTCAAGTATCTCGACCTGGAGACGCATAGAGGGTGCCATCTGTTAATATGACATTGGGTTGAGGGGTACAGAAAGACGATCATCAAGAATAGGAAGTGCCTATGGATTTAAGTAGCAGACCGTAGCTTGAGCAAAGATGTGTTGGAAGCCTGTCACCTTCGTCGCGGTTTATGGAAAGTATGTGCTTGTCGGGTGAAGCTTGCCATGTTGAAGTACGCGCGGGGGAACAACCGTGTACCTACTGTTGAATTGCCATACCCTGCGTGTTGTGTAGATGACCGAGCAGTGGATAATGTTGCATGTTCAAATCTTGACGTTCAGGTGGAAAAGAGGGTGAATCCGGTTAGGCGCACAATATACATAAGGAAGTGTCGGATGAGGCAGTGAGTTGTTGGTTAACCGAACTTGACCGAAAGTCGCGGCGAGATTTTCAGCTGAATGAGGGGAGTGAAAAGCGTGAGCGTCAAATTTGGGTTCCGCTGGCTTGAAGAGGAATTTGAAAACTCAATGTATGACAGCAAGCAAATTTCCATGCAGCAGACCTGCAATGCCGGATACCAACAAAGCTGATATACACGAAGACATTTCGGAATTCAAAGCTCGTAACGTGGATCGAAAAATGACTGTCGCTTTCAGGAATTTCCCGTCTGATGAATGAAATGTAGGAGATGGAATTGAAGGTGCGGTTTTGAGGGGATCAGGATGCGACAAAGGGGTCACGCCGGGCACCAATGGCTTAGGCCGGCTAAGTTGACATGGCCGGATTTTGTAGCCACGATATGGGTCCGTTTCACATTGTACCATCACGGAGCTTGCTTGGGGTCCACCTGTTACATCGAAAAATGATAGCGTGGCATACAAAAAAGGCCTCAAAAGGTCAAGTTGGGAACTCCGGTAAACATCGAGCAAATGAGAGTCGACTGTGTGGTGGGGAAAGCAAAGTATTCAGTGAGGTGTAGGTCAAAGTTTGTCGCCATTCAGGTAGTTTGCGACGGATTGGTAATTAACAGGGGATTCTCATGTGAAAGTTTGTGAAAGTGATCCAATGTGAGCGAAATCAGCTTCCCGCCTATGTAACAGGGCGGACAGCTCTCGCGTTTTGGCTAAGTATGTAATTTCGGTTATGCTATTGATGTCATTAGAATGACTCAATGTTTGATGAATGGGGTGCAGTAATTTTGGGCAAACTTCAATTCGCATGGAAATCAAAGATGCATTGGCAATATAGGCATTTATAGTCACTCTGCTACATTGGCAAAATGATGATTTGCATAGACCTCTGTCATAAGTTTGTTGAAAGGGTGTTCTTAAATCAAGATATATCAAATGTTTGTACAGAGGGATTCTTCACGGCCATCGGCCTCGGATGCTGACTCGACTGAAAGCTGGCCCGAAGGGCAACGAAGATTTGGAGATAGGTTTGAAAATTTGTAGGATGTTTCAGTTTGCGAATGCGATTTCGCATAGAGCCACACCTGCAGTTTCCTTTGGACGCGGGTGGTGCTCAATATCAAGCTGATGACTGAAAACATAAGCTGACTAGCCAGATCAGCGGCGGGCGCCTCACAGCTCCTTCCCAAGATTGACTGCCCACACTTTTTGGCCTGTACTTCTTGCATTATCACTTAAGCTTGTCTTTAGTCTTTTCTTGATCAATGTTGATGTTTGCATATTCAACTGTTTGAGGTAGGTCCATTGAGGAGGATGAGAGGATGATGAAATTGGATGATAAAATCAAAATATGGCTATTTGATGGATTTCCAGTGGGTTGATCTCTGTTTTGAAGTGTTTGACTATTTCTTGGCATCTGTGGTTGAAATGTAGATGCTGGTCTCACATGCCCTCCAGAAGCTTGTGATGGGGGCTTGGAAATGGGTTGGTGGCAGAATTTTTGTTCAAATAGACTGCATGGGCTGGTTGAAATGAGAGCTGGTTATAAGGGTGATGACTCTGATTAGACTTCGGCTGCTGTTTCTCTTGGGCTTGTACCCAGGATCTGGTATCCAGTTCAGGAAGCTTCACAGGCTTACTCTTCTGCATCTCATCTTCATCATTTGAAAGATTTCTCATGTTTTGTTAATTGATAGGAGAAGTTGGCAGAGGATATGAATTTCTCTCTGGGTTGTAGGCTATTGGTTTGACATGATATAATGTAGAGGCTTTAAGTTGATGGTGGTCATGAAATGGTTGGTAGTGATGATCTGGGTACCAATCGGGTTCAATTGAGTTCAGATCTAATGGTCAATTATTTGCCTCACCATAATTTGGCTGTCTTCAATCAGATATCATGAGTGGATCAATAAAGGACTTGACCATTGGATCTGATCCATTTCCATCTGTGCGTGGGGTTTACCCTTCAATGGGTTCAAATTTGCCTTTGGTTCCAGGGATGATTTGTTTTGACACGTTTAAGGGTTAGGTGGGCAAGTGAAAGAATCTTTGACAATAGTTGTGATCATCAAGTGCTGAAGTATTTAACCCCTGTTTCTTACTCTGATGATGCTGGCAAAGTAGATTATGTTTATAGGGCTCTGGTAATTGTACAAAGTGTTTGGGTGAATCTGAGCTCACAATTTTTGGTTGATCATAAGGTGTCAAGTTGATTGCTCTATGTCATTAGCACCTGGTCATTAGGGAGCTTGGAGAAGATAAATAATTTGAAGGTGAAGCTTATTCCTGTGTGATTGGATTTGTTTTTGAGTGGTGTTGAAGTCTCATGAAGCTTGAATCATAGCCTCTTGAGCTCTATGTTATGCAGAAAGACAAAAGAAAAAATCACCAAAGGGACACAACAAAAAAGAGGAAAGAAAAAGCAAGAAGATAGTGAAGTGGAAACAGTCAAAAACAACCTGAGGAATTGTGATCTGGGATTTTTGCAGGTAATGTGAGGTATACCACTATCTTGTATACCTTGCACAAATTTAGCAACAATCCTAAAAGCCTGTCTTCTCAATCCTAACTTATGATCATCATCTGCTCCACCATTTTCAACAACTCTAGCGTGAACAAAAACCAATGATCTTATCACATAATGAATCAATACTTTCAATTACTAAACCTCTTAATGCTAGACAAATTACTTAGAGATTTCTACTTGATCTTTATTTGTTTCTTGCAACCACTTTCTATTAAATCTGCTTCTTCTGTAGATCATGATATTTAACTTTCACATATGTCTAGGAATCCATTTGATAATTCAGGAACAGGTGGGATCCAGTCATATATCTTGGTCCAAGTTGAAATCAAGGATGGTAACAGAGTAGAAGGTTGAAGTTCATGTGATATTAAGATCTCTAAGATTGATTTTGAAAACATACGTCCAATGACCTTCAGTTGTGTATCTGAGAAATTTGAATCTTTTGCACCTATTGATTGAAGGCAAATAATTTATGTGTATGTCTTCAAACTCCCATGAATACAAAAAACCACATCATAAAAAATGAGAGATAAATTTGTGGAAAATAAACTGACCACACAGGATTTCTGGTAGGATCAGTAAAGTCACCTCTTGAACATCATCATTGAACTTGGGGATTGTCAATAGCACTTGCTAGTCTTCTTTTTGGCAAAGCATAAAATGGGGAAAATATCACACTACACTGAAACTTCAGAAGCGGTGATACACCCGCTGCAATCATTTCCAAATGATTGACCAAGTGTGAGTGAATTTGTTTGATGATGATAGACAAGCCTTCCAATGCTCCTGTTTTGTTTTCTAGAGCTGAAGTCTTGGTTCCAAATAATCTTTCTCCGATCATGAACCTAGAGTTGGACCAAGTAACACAAAATCAAGAACCAATGAATGTAATGACATTTGATGGAGAAGGATCAGAGAAAATTTGAATCTTACGATTGCCATTCATGATCATGCTGATGATCACAATTATCATCTGGTGCACTTATTGAAAGTTCCAGGTTATTGGTCACATATTTCATCAGATTCTCAATCAACCAATCGAGATATTGTTGGATTTGAGCAGCCTGAATAGACTTTGATAAGTAACACAAGCACAGGAGAAGTTTAACCTTTTCATCTGTTGTTTGTTCTGAGGTTTATCAAAGCAAAAAATCGATGAGCAACATGAGAATTGCTGAGATGAGTGGGAGCTTACTTATAGAAGCGATCGATCTATGAATCCAGTGGATCAAATCAGATGAAAACCTTTCTTCTCAAAGTGCATTAACTATCAAAATGAGCCGTTAAGTTGTAAGTTAATGGATACAAACGTCAATGGGTTTTAAATGACTGACCAAGATAAGCAAAGCAACTGTACACTCCCTCCTTGAGTCGACTTGTTTGGTGATACGGCGATTCACTATTCATAACCTTGTTGGCTATCAACTTGAGCTGTTTTCCCAATGCTTTCATATGATAGCTGAAAGAATCAACAACCTCAATGAACATCTCTGTTGTAACTTACTGAATCGCTGGTATCATCATCCTTGAGTGTAATCAAGATGGAAATGAAGTTTCTTCCGCATTACTGTCAGTCGATACCTTTGTTGCTTTGTTCAAGGTCAACTGTTTATCGAATATCAACTGTGTTTGTTTTACTTGAGGATTGATGGTGTCTATTTTTGTCCAAACATTTCCAAATCGAAATGACTTTCAGTTTCAGCCGTTTCAACTTTGCAAAATTGATGGATCTTATTGTAAAGACCTTTTGGTACTGTGCTTCCTAAGATTTTGAGATAACTCTTGGTTACTCGATTATCTATCGCCTCTGATTGTTGGTATGAACCCGATCATGTTTGATCGTTTGAATTCTTGTCTTTAGCCACATTACCTATCATGGGTTGGGTGGAATGAACTTTTAAATGACCCTGGCCTCCCAATTGAGAGCAGCTAAGACAGCACCTGGATCGATAAATCAAAAAGTAAAATCAGAACTGAATTAGTGTTTTTAAGTTAGATGAAGAAAATGAATTAAATCAAAAACTCACCATCAAATGAAGTCAACCAATTGATGATTTCAATTGCACCAAAAAAGGTACAAAATCGCCTGTGTATCATTCAAATCAACAGAATCAAACATCAGATCAGAAAGAATGAAATCAAGAAAGAGAGAAATGGGTAACCTCAATAAGTAATTGGTTTTAATATTATTGTGATGTAAAGCACCAAATGAAAGTAAATGATCAAGTTCATTTACAAGTTGATGTACCATTTCGTTTATATGTTCAGGATCCCTAGAAGTGCGAACTTTTAAAGAATTCAAAGCTGATTATTGAGCCGGTCCTTTCCTAAGATCATTTCCATACCATATTCATTTCTGAGTAAATTTAAAGATTGAGTGAAATTTGATTTTAATTTGATTGGTTGGGTTAGAAACCAATTGAGTGTGTTTGATAGCAGCCTGAATGAGTCGAACGCGCGAGCCAGGGATTTTACTCAAAGGACGTGTAAACCTCCAAATTGAAAGTACTGATTGGGAGTTTTGTCCAGTTTTGCCGGCGAACACGGTTTGCCTTTAACTTGAATGATCAGTATTTGTTTTTGGGGTTTTCCAGGCATGACCTTTCAAAGCTCACACTGTCGTAGGAAAATGAGTCACCGGTTTGAAAACGTTGTTTGTTTATCCATGCTATTGAATTCTATCAAAATTGTGACATCAAAATCAGATTGGAGCCACTTCTACGATTGGTCATGAGACCAACTTACCAATATTTCCTTGTATGTCATATGTCCTCTGAAGTAACAATTCAAGCCTTGCGCTGCACACGTGTCAACCAAGTGCTGATCGAACGTGTTTGAGCCTTCTGAAATTATGAAGATAATGTGTTTCAAAGCAATTTTAATTTTGGACGGCTTACGGGCCAGAATATACAGTATTCGTTCCCATGTTTGTCCAGAGTCTTCATAATTTGTAATCAAAACTTTGACATTATTGAAAAAAGGTAATTGCAGCCATTCAACATTGGAGCGCTGGATGTCAGAAAAGATGCAACGCAATATACGCAGCCGTGGATAGATGTGGTTGAGTGCCTCGTGGGGGACGTGGGTCGGGATTGCATCGAGTGAAAGCGCTTCGATTGATTCATCCAATGCCATGATCACTTGCGCGGCGTCGTCAACGTACTGAGGCGGAGCGTATTCCAAACATCTGATGTTCTTTCCTTCGGAGCGCAAGAATTTGGTGAGCGCTTGCATGTTTGTCTGGTCATAGAAGAAATAGAGATGCTTGAGATTTGGGAGTGATCCAGGCTGAATATCTAAAGTATCTAGAGTAACAAGGTCAAGGGAAAGGGATTCTAAGGTAGGCAGGCGATGAAGCAAAGCCGCAATGGAATCCGTGTCGTTGTGAATGTAATGAGCGGGGCTCCCAGAAAGAATGAGGACTTTGAGATCTGTTACATGTTGCATTGAATCTAACATGTCTTGAGTAAAACCTACGGAACTGGCGAATTGAAGCTTGAGATCGGTTAATAGATGGCTGCACATTTTTAAAATCTGATGAACGTCAGTGGATGAGACTGGCGACTCGCAGAAAGCATGACTTATTGGAGAACGTCGGCCAACTTGATGATTCGTGTACGCGTAGGTCACATCGGTATAAGATATGTTGGCGATGCTTAGGCGACGCAACTGAGACATGCCTGCCGTGATCAATGTATTGTTCTTTGTGGCAATTAAGTTGTGAGCCATGATTGATAGTCCTAATTCCAATTCGCCAAAGGCATAGGGTATGACGGCAAGGTCCCAAGGTTTACTAATGTGTCGTAATTGCAATAGCCAATTCAAGGAAGAACGTGCAGGGTAACTCAAGTCGGCGGTGTTGATGCGATAGACGTCGGTTGCTTTGCAATCCTGATAGAGGTACGAGAGAATAAGTTGGACAACCTCGACAGGAAGGCTGATATTGGGCGACATCATGGAGCAATTGTGGTAAGAGAAGTGAGAATTAGTCGCACATATATGATTGAAAGCAGCTCTTATACCTGGTTCGTGTAGAGCAAAGCGGTAAACATTGATCCCTGGCGCTTCGCGCCCTGACAGATGATGATAAACGGCTTATCTTGAAGCTTGTGGATGTCGATCTGGAAATAAGGTGGGTCATGACCTATCACGAGGTGCTTGGAGGCCGGAAACAAAAGGCGCATACGGAGCCAGGGAGGGTGTATTAGAGAGCATCAGCGGACACTGTCCGTGTTGTGTAGAAAAAGGACTCGCCTTGAAACTTTGGAGAGGAAACATGCGAGCTAACGGCTAGATTATTGCAGAGATAAGCAGCGCAAAGAATTAAAGGCTACGTAGGGTAGGAGGATGAAGATCCCTGCTGACGGATGATAGCCACGAATTGGTGCAGTTTTGGGGGACGGGATGTGCGAGCTTGTGCGATTCTAAGCTGTTTTGAAACTGGGAAAAAAAA